CCAGAGAACAAAGGTCTGGAGAGCTGCTTGTCATGTGTCTGCAGTCACATGAAGTCCTGAAAGGGAGTTTTGTTGAGGTGATCAATATGATACAAAGCATTTGAACCTTTGCAGTTGAGGTCTGTGTTAGGGCTGACTGAAGGCTGCAAAATTATTCTAATTTGGGTGAGAGAGGTTTTATTTTTAAAGGCTCCCTCTTAAAAGCAGTTGTTTTGCATATTTGGAGGAGGCAAAAATAGTTATTTAGAGCCTTGTTTCAGCGGAGTTCTTAAGCACAGCTTAAAAGGAAGCAGTTTGTTACTTGGGGCATAAGCTGCTCAGTGGAAAACAGAAGACAGTTTCAATTGTAAAGTCAGGGTACAAGTAGAAAAAAGATTTATTGTGAGTGATAACATGCAGCTTTTCCACAACTCTACTCTGCTGCCAGTATTGCTTAATACTTGAGGGGGTTTTATGATGAGATACAGTAAAATTTATTCAGCAGCTACTGAAATGATGTTTAACTGAGACTTCCTTTTGGTGAAGAAGTAGATTTAATAACTACTTCTAATTATATTAAGGGTAAGTAAGACACAATAGATAAATGCATTCAGCATCTATATAAAGCTCAGAACACAGAGGGATAAAATTAGTATTGCAAAGGGAATTCAAATGTGTATCAACTCATCAGCAACAACCAAGCTGAAAATTAGAAGCATCTTCCAGTGAAAGCTTTGGGGCATCTTGCTAAAATAAATAGTAGGGAAAAAATTATTCAGAGGCTTCAAACAACGCTCCTACATTCGTGAAAAGGGTTTCAAAATGTGACTGAAAATGAAAATACTCTGACCCAAGACGTTTTTGGGCAGTTCTTTTACAACTGCTTATTTTTGCTTTGAGCTTTAATATTTTAGCCCTGCCAGTATCAGTGGGTTGATGGTTCCTGGAGGGGCACCTGCAGGGAGGAGAACACAGAGCTGTGTCCCTCCCTTGGTGTCACCCAAGCACAGCATCCGTGTGGCAGCCCAGGGGTCTCCCAGGGTCACTTTGAGAACACAGCAGGAATGTTCAAAGGACAGGTGAAATAAGCACTGCAGAACTGCACTGCTGGGCTGGCCCAGCCTCCCCCTCCTCCTCCTCCTCCATCACTGATCCATGGGGTGGTCCCTCAGCCTCCATGCCCAGGGCTGGCTGTGGCTGCTGGCGCTGTTCCTGTGGGGATGGCTGCCTGTCTCATCCATGGCATCCTCAGGTGTGTTTTGGATCCTGATCCCAGCAATGCTCCTCTGCAGCTGAGTGGAGGCTCCCCAGACACAGGCTTTCACACGTGGAATCATGGCATGGTTTGGGTTGGAAGGTTCCTTAAAGATCACCCAGTTCCAACCCCCTCCCACCTTCACTAAGCACAGTTCAGTCTCAGGTGGGAGAGTGAATATGGGGGAGTTTTTAGCCAGCAGGGGATATTTTTCCTATAAAAATAACATGTGTGGTCCCTCAGGTGACAAGTTGCTGATGTAAACAGCATGGTGGGCAGCTTTGTGTCATGTGTGTGTACCCAGCACTGCAGAGTCAGCTCGGCCAGGCTCTTTTCACTGTGTGAAAAGACCCAGACATAAAATGCCCAAATCACTATTCTGCAGAACAGCTGATCCCACAGAAGCTCTGCCACACCAGGGTGTTTGATGTCACTGAGGGGATGTGTTTACTCCTTGCAGTAATACACAGAGTAGGAATCTGAGCGGAGAAAAGTGGGTTTTGGGGACTGACTGATAGTCCTCTGACTGTGCAGGTCATTGATGGGGCAGGTTATTAATGTTGGGAGGACTTGGACATTCTTTGTGACAGCCTGTCCCTGCTGAAGCCCTTGGGAGTTCTTTCCCAGGCACTTCAGTGGGATCAGAGTCTTTGTCTTGGATACTTTCAGGTTGCAGATTTGTCAGGATAATGACTCGGGCATTTGATGGCCAGGTCATTTCACACATCAGGTGCCATCAAGTCACACACTGTCCAAGTGCCTTGCTGGGCTGACTTTGTAGTGCTGGGAGGACTCAGCCCCGTGTCCCCAGCTCTGCCCTACTTACTGCATTTGTCTGGGAAAGGAAAGCCTTTTTCTAAGTTAAAAGCAAAGGCTAAACAGCCTGTGCAGTCACCAACTTTTCCCTTTGTAGTATTCAATCAATTGTAAAACACTGGAATTCATTCTGCCGAGATACAAACGTGGGCAGATTTCTCCCACACTTACTCATCAGCCCAACTCCTTTTGTTTTAGGGGAGGGCTGAGGGAGAAGGGGAACTAAAGACACATTGGCTCAGCCAGTGTTTCACTGATATTATGCAAGTTAGTCTTGAGTTTAGAGCCAGATCGTTGTTTTCTCAGTTATTTTATCTGGACACATCAAAACAAGAACCAGAACCAAACTGAAAGCTTGTACCAAACACGGGAACAATGCCCTGCACTGTAAAAACTTCATGACTGTCATCCCCTCCTCCTTCATCTGGATTGATTAGCAGCCAGAGAGCACCTTTCTGAATACCCATGTAACTCATTCCACCTGTGCCCTGCACTGCCAGACATCTGCAGAAACTGCAATTAAAACCAGAAGAATGGGACCAAGATGACAAGCCTGTATATTCTCCTCCTCATACACCAGTGGTGACTGAGCTACTTGACCTTGCAGTACGCTGGAAAGCTGTTTTATGGGACTTTTTATGGAATGGTGTAATTTTCTTAGTGGGAATTTATCATTTATGTGAGGTATTGATGGCTGTTAGGGTTTGGGCTGTGATGTGCAAGTTCAGAACACACAAGCAGCTTTGAAAATTGTACTTTTTCAGTGCTCTGTGTTTGGTAGCTGCTGAGAATGAGGCAGAATTTGCATCACAAGAAAGCTTCTCTGGAAGGCAAGATCCCTTTAGGCTGTTCAACAGAAAACCCACTTGTCTAAATCTGTATTTCTCTGAATTATCTTAATTTGGGGAAAACATAATTCAACTCACAAAGTTAACAGATACTCTGTAATCATGTCAATGCCTCACAGTGCTGCATACCTTTGTTTTAAGGTGTGGATGCTTCAAATCAGGCCTTCCTTGTGGCATGGGGACATTTTGCACAGGTGCCTGATCCATGCCATGAGCCCACATGAGTTGGAGTCACAGCATCAAGCTCCCAGTGGAGGTTTTGTGACCCATATCCACCAAGATACTTGGGAATTGCCACATCAGGCCAGATTCTGTCGGGCTCCTCTGCTGTGGGGGCAGCACCGCATCAAGTGTATGTTTAGATGTGGTTTTCTTAAGTGAATCCTGCTGAAGTACCTGTTGATGCCATCTCCAAGCACTGCAGGCCAATTGTGTGGGGGAAAAGTGAATTTTGGGGCTTTTGCCTCCCTCCAGGTTGTGGTTTCCTACTGCACTGCATTGACACATGGTAGAGCAGATGATGAACAGGTGACTCTGGGCCTGTGGCTGCTGTGACAATTCTACAAATTATTGTCAATTTTACTTCTGTTAGGATGGTCAAGCTGAATGGGGAACCCAAAGTGCACCTCTGCTAGATAAATGGTTTGGGTTGGAAGGGACCTTAAAGCCCATCCAGTGCCACCCCTGCCATGGGCAGGGACACCTTCCACCAGCCCAGGGTGCTCCAACCTGGCCTTGGACACTTCCAGGGATCCAGGGGCAGCCACAGCTTCTCTGCCCAACCTGTGCCAGGGCCTGCCCACCCTCACAGGGAAGAATTCCTTCCCAATATCCCATCCATCCCTGCCCTCTGGCAGTTTGAAGCCATTCCCTGTGTCCTGTCCCTCCATCCCTTGTGAACAGCTCCCCTCCACCTTTCTCGTCCACTCCCTTCAGGTCCTGGGAGGCCACAGTCAGGTCCCCCCAATTCATCTGCAAATCAGTTTGGACTGAAGATCATCATCAGAGCTCCCTCCCCAGCCCCTTTTTGTTGTTGTTTTGCAGCACCTTTGGCAGTTCCTGCCTCCCTTTAGCCCGGGGAACTGCAGAGGTGCTGCTGTGCTGGGGAGTGTTTGGCTGGCCACCTGCTCCATCTGCAGACACTCCAACTGTATTCCAACTGGCCATGGAACAGCTCTGAACTGATCACTTGACCATGGCAAATGAGCTGCCCTCGTCAGTGTGTTCTGGTATATATTTAACTTAATAATGTGAGCAGATGGTCATTATATTGATTCATGAAGGAAGGGAGGAGGCTTGGCTGGCTGGGAAAGCATGGGAGTGGGGCAGGATGCAGGGAAGGGCAGGAAAACAGGACATTTTTCTGCTGTGTGGGGTTGGTTTGTTTGTTTTTCCTGAATTTTGTTTGTTTGTTTGTTTGCTTGCTTTTTTACAAAGGACCGCTGTGGACAGGCATAAAATCAGAGCATTTTTAGGTGACTCATCTGGCCTGTCCATATGGTCATTTCCCAGGAGGCTGGGGCTGTCAGTGCACAAGCAGGATGATGCTGAAGGATTTGTACCTCTGATGGTGCTAAAAAGGGGGGAAGTGGGGAGGCAGTAGCTTGTGGAGTTGTGAAACTCCTCACTCTGCTGTTGCTATTCAAGGTGACAGCTCTTTTGCAAGGAAAACGTAATATTTAAGTAATTGTTCTTCAGGAAATTTTTTTGTAAAGAGCAATTTTGTTTCAGTCTCTCCCCATTTAATAGGATATAACTGGAGATTTAAACTAGAAGGTAATTCCATAAAATACTCAGCCACTCTCCTCGTTAGCTAAATTGGGAAGTTCACAAATCCCCAACCTGGATCAGCTCACAGGAACAGCTTGCTTTGGTTATTAATTTTGCAGTTTTCACACGAGAAGTGCTGTGTACACAAGAACATTCTCCTGAGCAGGAGCTTAATCTCATGCTCGGGTCCCTGCTTCTCCTAGCTGCTGATTAGCTTTGCTGTCTTATCAGTTTATGTCATAGTATGTGACTATAAATTGACTTTGCAGGGAAGAGGGAATACGTTCATCTTCACAGATGCTGCTGTTTCCATGGAGATAAAAGGACCAATGGCCTTTTCTTGGTTTGGACTGTACTACAGTGAGCAGGCAGAGATGGTGCATTTGAAAACGCAACATTTGGTGCTTTGATATTTCAGGCTAAATAGCAAATGAGAAAGCATATTGTTTTTTCTCGGTGATGAAGTGGAATAATAAATACAGCTTTGGGACTTCTTTTGGGGAGGCAGAAAGCGAGCCCCCCCAGGAACGTGAGGACAGCGTGGCTGGTTTGTGCTTGCTGAACCTCCTCTCCGGGAAAAACCTTTTGGCTTTGCAAAATATAACCCTGTAGAGCCTTTGGGTTTATCTGCTGCGGTGTTTGATGCTGGTTACATCACCAGTTACCTCTCCGTGATGTTCCGCTGTGGCTGATCCTCAATGAACCTGCAAAAGCTTTCAATGTGATTCTCCTTTTTTTATTATTATTTTTTTTTCCTTAAGAAAGAGCTTTTCTACCTCAGGTTGAACGAAAGAAAATATAAATCCCAAATCCACCCCCCTCCCACACCCATCCAAGGATGGCTTGCAGAAGGTGTTATTTGTGAGTACCTTTTCCTTCTTCATCTGTCGTCAACGTCTCTGATATCTGTGTTGAGGATTCCAGGAGTGGGAGTAGTGATCAGTTTATTGTTTGGTAGGTTTCTTTCCACGAACCATTTTTAGGGTGTTACCTGGTTTTGGCAGATGAGTGATCTGTATATCAGAAATGTTTGGATGATGGTTGTGTTTGTGCATATGGGTATTTAAAAATATATAACGTACTAAAGGGAGTAGTCTGTGTTTAGTCTGTGTTTAGTAGGGAAAAAAAAATGAGAAAACCCTCCAGTTTGCACCCAAGAAGCGATGCAGGATGCCAGGAATTCTGTCTGTGATGAGTCAAGGGTCTCTCTTCCATTTTGTTTGAATGCTTTGTCATATTAAAGTGTAAGCTGTCCTTTAAATATACAGAAGTACTAATACAGGATATGCAAGGCAGTTTTAAGCAATGTAGTATTGATGAGGCTAAATACTGCTGGGTTTTTGTTGGTTTATATATGCTTGCTCAAAACCTGAAGGCACATTAATTGCTTATTACTATTTATTTGAGCAGTTTCTCAAGGATTAGAGTCAGCAGGAGTTAAATATTCCACGGGTTTGATGCTGTGCAGCAGCTCCTGCCTGAGCTGTCACGTTTGCACAGAGCTCAGAGCTCAGCCACGTCCTGTTTGTGGTGCCAGTGCCGGGGTTTGGCTGGAAACCACACAGGTGGTTCACTCAAAAAATGGGAACAAACCAGGCAGGACGTGCCGTGGACTTGTCCTCTCCCAGCTCCCTCCCAGCCCAGGGGCTTGGAATGGCTGGACCTGCTGTTTGCATCCCTGAACCCTGGTGAAAGATCTGCTTGAGTTAAATTAGAGTGGCTGCAGTCGGCATCTGCAGCTTTCTCAGTTATTTTAGCAGCGTGTCTGAGGGTCCTGATCTGGGTGAATCTGCTCCGTGTTCAGCAGCACCAGCCACACACAGGCAGAGTAAATTCAGCCAAAACTCAAACAGAGCAATGAAAGAATATTGAAAACCTGCCCTCAAGTTTTCTTAACCTCGTGTGTTGTGCTGAAGGGGGGTGAGGGGTTAAGTTGAAATGCTTTAAAATCAAAATGAACGTGGGACTGCCCGTTGGAAGTTGAAATAAGAGAAGTAAACTCGGAAAGCAGGTCTGCAGCCTTCCAGGTGTACATGGATCAGCTTTAAATAGCGTGCTGTGTGTTTATACCTGGGAGAATAGTTCTGTTTGTGTTAGACTCCATTTTAATTTGGGTTCTGGGATTTGGGGATTCTGTAACTCTCAGCAGGGGATGGGATTTCATATTGTGCTCATCATGTGGTGTGAAGGGATATTTAATCCCTGGGTGTTGCTTTCTTTAACGGGGAGATTGAAATCTTATTTATAGAACCATCTTGTGCAGTGTTTTTTACTGCTTACACATGTGATATCTTGTCCCTACCTCAGCACATTGCTGTGGAAAACAAGATCTGGGCTCTGACTTCTGCAATTCTGTATTTTAACTCCTGTTTAAGGGAGTTGATGCTGACTGTTGAAAAGAGGAAAATGTAACAGAGGAGGGTTTTTTTTTATCAAGCAACTCTTAAGGCCACCCATACACAGCAAATCTTCCTGTTCTCTAAAGCAAATGTGAGCTGAGCACTGGACATGTACGTTCAACAGTTACATCCACCAGTGCCTTTTGAGATGAACACTGAAATGCATCTGCCAGTGCTCTTGTGATATATATGCTAAAGCCTTTTGCCATCGAGAGTCTCTTTTTTAAGAGAAAAACGCCTTTTTACATCCTAAAACGTACAAAGCTGGATCGTTGCTGTTCTGAAAGAAGCTGAGGAACAGTGTCACCCCGGGGGGATCAGTTGCAAGGGTGTTTTCAGCTGCTGCACTCAATGGAGCACACGTCCCTGGACCTTTGTTTTAAGTAACAGGATTTGCCTTGCTGTGAATCTCTCACGCTGGATCGGGGTGGTTTCATTCTTTGTGCTTCCCTCCTTTTCCTCTGTCATCAGCTGCAAAGCCAAGATGTACACCTGGCACTCCTCAGCTTTGGGGGTTACTCTGGGTGCTGCTGGGTGAGATTCTAAACGCGCTGGGGGTTTGTAATGGGAGTTGTAGTTCCTTGAGAAATTCTGGGACCTAATTCAGTGGCGTGGGAAATACAGAGAGGATGGTTCTGATTTAATCTCAAAGATCTTCTCCTTCTATCCCAAGCAGCTTCATGTGTCTTTGCTCTTAATTTCTGCTTTTGGACTGTCTGGGGGTTTTTCTACGGATTTTGTAAGTGCCCAGTGAGCACAACTCGATACAAGTTCTGTTAATTATTGTACATCACCCTTAATCACAGTGGGGTTTGTAATAACCTTAATCAAAAGGGAAAGAAATGTTTTTAATTATAAGCATCTCCATATGAACAGTCTTAATTAAATTCACCCTTGTTACAGCTAAGCCAGGATGAGGATCCCTCCAAACTGTGCAAGGATGCAAAAGGATCCCCTCTTGCCTGCTTGTGTAGGCTATTACTGCATGCTCATGAAACCAAAAAAACTTTATGATAATTACTGATAATTATCTCTAATGTTAATGAGCACTGTGTTCCAGGATGGGACAAAATAACAGCTGTTCCTTGGTTAGTATTCTGTGACTGCACTGGTTTCATTCTCCCAGGAGATGATAATTATTTTCAGGCCCTTTTGATGGTCAGTGAGAGTGTGTCTAATGATTCTATTGAAAAATCCAGCTGTGGGCACTTGAGCTGGGATTACACAAAGGGAAGTATTATTCAAAACAAGAACTCTCAGTTTGCCTTTATACTGCAACATGTACAAATGATGATATTTTAATTATTTTGATGACAAGCGAATTTTGTGTATTCTGGGGCAAAATTCAGTGGTCTGTGCTCCAGCCTACGTGTGCTGATCATTTGGAACTGCAGGTTTTACTGAGCATCCTTGGTGTCTAATGAAAATATCTTTAATTTCTATTTAGAAAAAATTGTGTACTGTGAGTAACAAGAGCACTGTGAAAAAACACAGCATTTGCTCTGTTGTCCCCACGGCCTTTCCCTTCCCCAGACTGCAGGACGTGGAGTGGGATGAACTGAATAGGAGAAGAGAGAAGGGTTTTCAGTGCTCCTTCCAAAGCCACAATCACCCTGCCCTGTGTGTTTTGGGTGAAGGTCTGAGGAGTGACACATCTTTGGTGGCAGGACAGTAGAAGTTTGTCCTTGCAGATGTAGATGTGTGGTGTGCTGCATCCCCCCGTGGTGTGGACACATCCACAGGCAGCCCCCGTCCCTCCTGGGCTGGGAGGAGACGGCAGGAGCTGCCAGTTGGAACTTTCAGCTGCTTTCTCTCCCTTCCAAAAAAAGCAAGTTGTCCTGTGGGCTCAGTGTGTTGATTCTGAAAGCCCTCCTAGCATGCTAATGAACTTATTAATTAGCAAGCATTTAACTGTGAGTCTGTGTTATTAGGACTTTTTGTGTTTGGCACCTTTTTGGAGGTCTGTTTGATTATATTTCAAATTTTGTTCCTCATTAAAGAAATGGTTAGATTTATTAAACAAGAACAGGATAGACTTTACTGTCTTTCAACTTTCCTAATCTCAGCTGTAGCCATAACTCTGGATTGGCATGAGAAAGAAAATTTCAACTTGTAAAATGATGTTATTCTTCATGAGGATAAAACACTGAGAAATGGAAGTATTCCTTTGATTAGCTTGTAGGCATGAATCCAATCAAATAAGCATTCTTAGCTACCTCAGGTGACATTGCAGTGAAAGGGCTTATGCAGGGGATGAACTTTTCTGTCCCTCCTGCTCTTCCCAAGCTCATTTTAGGAAGGACAGGGGCTCACCAGGTATCCAGGGGCCTGAGGCTGTGCTGGCATTCCTTTTTCCATACACTCCTTGGAACCTGCACCTCATGGAAAAATGTACCAGAAGAAAGGGAAGAATCCTGGCAGATGGAGGTGAACAGATTGTTATTCCAGACAAAGAGGAGGAATAATGTATGAAGTCACATGGATGTAGGGAAGTGCAGCAGTGGAGATGAATGAAAGTGCTGAGCAGGCTCCTGTCATCAGCCACGTCAGAAACTTTATAAAGGCACCATTTCCTCCAGCTGTGCTCCTGGACCCATTTTACTGAGGCTCTGTGAGACAACAGTTTTAGTCCCTTCTGTTTGGAAGCTGCTGATCGTGTGGGAAGAGGTTCCAATAATAATTCTGCCACCCTACTCCCGGGTTTACACACGCTTAAAATGGAACAGCAGCTCATCAGCCAAGGGGTGGGTGTCCTGTCCTCTGCTAAACAGGGTGTGTGCTGTTCACAGGGAGGGGGACAAGCTGCCTCCAGGCTCCCAGAAATTCTCTGGGGTGCTTTCCATGCCCCAGCACCATCCAGCTGAGAGGACACTGGGAAAGCAGAGAGGATCACTGTCACAGCCAAGGCAATTCCAGGTTAACAGCCTCCTGCTCTCTTTTCCCAGGTTGTTTAAAAACCAACACTGAGAAAATTACCTGCTGAGTCTGGGAAATGTGTTGGGGATTGTAAGAGGAAATAAAAAATAAAAAAAGTCCATTTATGGCTTTATGTGATGACCGGTAATGGGTTTCTTTCTATTTGTACATCTGAGCAAGACTCTGGAAATGAAAGATTAAGAAGAATGGTCATTTCTGTTCACTGATGGATAGGGAAGTGTTGTTCCAGTGAGTGGTTTCTGATGGCAAACATGATGGTATTCATGCAGAGGGGAGAGGAACAGTCACACCTGCTCTGGGTCTGGGAGCTTCCTTGGGAGCTGCATTTCTCCTGTTGCACTGGTACCCTGAGGGGGATGTGATGTCAAGGGTTTGGGTTAGATTTGGTTCAGGTTTTACTGTTCCAGTCTGTTCTCACAAGGAACTTTCTTTAAGAATGGACAAGTGGTTGCCTGTCTGTGAGGACCTGGGGAGAGCTGGAAGGAACTTGGCCTGCAGGTGGGAAGTCCCTTCCATGTGCACTGGGATGTTGCAGCAGTGGTTCAGGAACTGATCTTGCCACAAGAACCATTCATCACTTCAGTCATTTGTCTTGTGCTGGTGCTGAGGTACCCTCTGCTCTGTTTATTATCTTAAATCTTCTTTTGAAGAACATCCACTAGAGATGCAGAAACTGAACTTAATAGGGCCGAATTATCTGTGAGCCTCTGAACAGGAGTTATTATTTCTCCTCCAAATTATTGAAATATGTTTCTTCTGATGCCTATAGGTGTTAAAAATTAGTAAATCACTTCTAGTTTGAATGCAAACTTGTGTAGAAGGCTGACTGCAAAATCTAACTATAAAGTTTAGAAAAGAACTAAAAAATAAAACCAAACAACTAAAACAAACAAACAAACAAACAAATCATTGGAATATTTTTCTGGTAGATTCCAGAGCAGTAAATTAATGCAAGCACTGTTTTAGCAGGTGATTGAAGGCACAAAATGCCACATGTGAGTCTTAAGTTGCACCAGCAGATTTACCCAAAAGCTTTGGTAAAATTAGCATAAGTCAGAGGCTGTAAAGTGGGAGCCTCATTGTTTGTCAGGCTGACAGGACATCAGTCAATGAGACTGAGAGGAACCCAAACACTGAGTCAAGATATCCCTTGAATTTTAAAATTCAGAGCAGAGTCCAGCCCTCATGTTTGCCTCTCTGGCTGGGTGGACAAAGAGCCTGTCTTTGAGCAGCCTGAGAACCATCTGCAGTCCAAGTTTGATGTGTTGAGCAAACATCTTTGGCCTCCAAGATGCTCCTGCTGGAGCACAGCAGTGACACGGGGTACCTTGATCACAGCCTGCAGCTGCACCTGGCCGTCTGTTCCACCTCCTCCACACCTGCCCTGGCACTTGGCGCTACCAGGGCCGGTGTATTTACCACCTGACAAACCTCTGGCACTTCTCATTTGCTGTCAAGGTGACGGGACTGTTGCGTTTCTGCTGCACCTTCGAACAGACACTCAGAGCAGTTGAGCTCCCAATCCCAGTCCTGTGCAATAGGTGAGTACAAATCGTGCCTGAGATGATAGGGAGAGCTTCCCTCTTTATTGTTCAGGGCTTTTTGGAACCTAGGAAAGTCAGAGCAGGACAGATTTATGGAACCTTGCGGGCAGATTCTTTCTGGAAGAGCCAGGAGCAAGCTCTGTTCAAAAAGCTTTGTTGAGCAGAACTGAATCCACTTCACTGGTTTGTTCTCTGAAGAAAAAAAGAGATTTGTATGGGGAAAAAAAAAAAAAAAAGAGTGGTGTGGGAAGGGAATCTGGGACACTCTCCTACTAATTTCCTACTTTTGCTTCTACTGGAAAAATCAGGTTGTCCCAAAGCAGCGATTTCTCCCGTGTGAACAGTTTCCCTGCCCAGTGTGAGACTCGTGCTCTGCCCATTTCCAGTGTTCTCCCTCAGCTCTGTGCATTGTATGGGGCAGCTTCTGTGGACACTGTCTGTTTTTCCTGTCAGAAAATCCAGCTTTTGCGTGTTCTGGCTGCTTTTGTCACGGTCCATCAGTGCTTCCAGTGACATTCACCATCTTTCTTTTGAGTTGTTCTGGTCATCTCTCCCACGGGTTTGAAGGTGCCACCATCAGTAGCTGTGTGTACCCTGATGGGAAGGTGCCTCGTGACTGATTTGTGTTGCCATTTCCAAAAGCTCAAGTACTTTGCAGGGGTTACCAGCAGTTGCTGTCTTTAAACAGAAAATCCAGCTCGTCCTGGCCGTGCAGTTGCTGACACATTGTTGGCAACAGAAATCAGAACAGGCTGACCTTGCCTTTTCTTTTTTTTCCAAAGGATTAGTATCTGACTCCTTCCTGAACAAAGCCTGGCTTCTTTTTGCTTAACCACTCTGTTTGATCTTATAAGAAAGTGACCTCACAGGATTCACTTTAAGCCTCAGGGATGCAGAAGAATCAAAATCAATCTTCTGGAGCCTCTGTCAAGACACCAAAGCAAAAGATGAGGTGTGTGGGGGGAAGTGCATTTCTGTGCACACACATCCTCTGTTACCAGCCAGGTTGGATGCTTACAGGTTAAATGAGAATTTTCAATTTAATGGCTACTTCTTCCATAGGTCCCCACTCAGAGAGCAAGGAGATATTGATTATTTTTTTATGATTTCCTAGAAGAACGCTGTGTCTGAAGAAATTTGATTAGGTGGATTTATCATGGAGGCCTAACTGTGCTAAACCCTTGTTTAAAGTTTCCTGGCACAAACACCAGAAATGCAGAGACGTGTGCTGTGTGTTGCTTAAAGATTTTCTGAGCTTTCCTTCAGATGCAATACCTTGTCCTGTTTTGCAGCTCTTCTTTGTTTTCAATTAAACAACACAAACCTGACGATCTGGGGAGGGGGGCAGAATATCTTTGTGTTGGAAAGCTTCTTTTTATTTTTTTTTCCCCCATGCTTTGAACAAATGACAGCAATTAAACTTGTATTGCACAGTCCTGAATATTGTTTAAAAAGGGGGTGAGGCTTGGATTCTTTGCCATTTTCAAGCGGTGTGTTATTGCAATATGTTTGTAATTGCTGGGCTTGCAGAAAGCTTGTGTCCATGTCCATTGCATCCTCCCTGCTCATGTCACAGCACTGTGTCTGTAATTCCATTGACAGAGGAACAGCCTGACTGGTGCAGAGTAAGGAAGTCTGAAGCTTCATGTCCATGGGAATTCCAACCCTCAGCGTTGGCTTTGATCCCTCTATGGGTCTTTCCCTGAGGAGTTGGATGTGATGATCCTTGTGGGTCCCTTCCAGCCCAGAACACCCTGTGATTCTGGGGTGTTTTGCCTTCATTCCACGTGGCAAACCAACCCCAAAGTCTCCAATTGGCCTTTGGTCTAAATCTTGCAACCAAACCTGGACTCTCCACAGCTCACCCCCCGTCACTCCGACCTGCGTGTTCCCAACGTGGCAAACATCCCCCTCTGATTTCCTGGCATTCACAATTGACAGCTTGCCCATCAAATCCCATTCAGCCTCAACCATGAGTTCCCAACAAACCCCTCAGCACCCGCCTTTCCCTCCCAAGCCCCTTTCTAAACACCTGGTGGTTTGACTCTGTGTTTTTCCTTGTGTCGTAGGTCTTTAAATACTCTGCACCAGTTTTGCTGTCCAGCTCCATTGTACCATTCCCAGCTAGCTGTCCCTGCCACACACTCAGAGTACAGGTAAGAGTAGAGACATGGACCACCCACTTCTGATTTCTGGAGAGAGAGATCTGATGTTACCATTGGAGACACGAGACAGGGAACGGCGGTTGAAGTTTGAAAAGAGAAATAAATTTAAAAACAAAAAAAAAGGCATATTGGAAAAAATACCCAATATTTAGGGTGGTTCTGAGTAGAACTGTCGCTGTAGTGAATCCTTCTGCCAGGCATTCTGGAATTAGACAGTAAAAGGAGTGTCATGTGCTTAAAGAGGCACATCCCCCTAGATTCACAAAGGTAGGGAGAAGCTACTGTAGGTTTAGTTCTCACAGAACAAATATCTTGAAATATTTGTATATAATTGGTGGAGGATATTGACGTTGTTCTGAGCAACGTTTTTGGTTTTTTAAGCCCTGAATACTCCCTGCCAAAATCCATGTGTTGTGGCACTGTGAAGGTTAAAGGACCTGCACAGGGCTCAGCACTGCCCTTTCATGGGAGTGAATGAAGGGCTTTTTAAGCACATCCAGGCCCTTGATGCCAAGCAGAGCTGCCCTGAATATATCAAAAATATGTTTTCCAGCTCATAATGCTTTAACACCGATGCCTTTACGCTGTGTTCTCTTTGATCAGACGTGGAGAGCAGCAATTACCCCTTGTAGTACAGTTCCTTGGCAGTGCCAGTGTTTATTTTAACAACTTGCAGAAGCATCAAAGGGCAGCTCATCTAAGTAACTGGAAACGTGACAACTGTTAAGAAATCGTGCATGCTGTGGAAAACATTGTCTTTTAATTTTTACTTTTGCTAGCAGTGATTAACTTAGTGATAATTGCCAGCTCATGAATAATATTCATATCCAAACATTGGAAGCCCTGGTGCTGAAAAATCAAATCGCTTTGCACTGGTTAACAAGGAAAGACAAAACCAAACAATGAATCCTAAATCTGTAAATGCATAAACATATTTCTGGTTGGAATATTTCATCCCTTAGTTTTCTCTCACTGTGCATGCTTGGATTCATCCTGGTGTTTAACGTTGCAGCATCTCCTCATGTGTGTTTGTTTTTTCCCTCCCATCAGAGCTCTTGTTTGTTTGGTGGTAGTGAATCCACGGTTGGGTTGTGAGACAACTTAATATTCCTTTGGTGAGGAGCAGGGCCTGAACACTGTGAGATTCCCTGCTTGCTTTTAGTTTTCCTTTGTCCTTAGTTTATAGTGCTTTAATTTAAGGATCTTCCTACAAGGATGCTGATGGGAAAACCGGCTGTTTTTTTCTGAGGTGTCTCAATATCTTGCTCCACGTAGGTTATTATTTTTATCAGTGGTATTTCTTCTGGAATTAAAGCTTAAAAAGCAGCATAACTTGGTGCTTAAAAAATCCTTCCCTTCTCTAGCCTTTTTTGCCTTTCTCTCTTTGTGCAGTGAGAACAGAAACACCCCAAGTGTGTTGGGATGTATAAAAGCACATTCTTAGAGTGCCCCAAAAGATGCCCTAAGATCTTCAGCTGTGGTTTCAGGATTGGGGGGTGGAAAGGAACTCATCACTGGCCTTGTTTGCTCTCAGTGAAGTTCAGGTTCAGGGGGACCTTCTCACTCTCTACAGCTCCCTGACAGGAGGGGGGACCAGGTGGGGATTGGGCTCTGCTCCTGGGTAACCACTGATGGGACAAGAGGAACTGGGGCAGGTTTAGGTTGGATATCAGGGAAAATTTCTTCAAGGAAAGGGCTGCCCAGCCCTGGCACAGCTGCCCAGGGCAGTGGTGGAGTCCCCAACCCTGGAGGGATTTAAAGGCCGTGTGGATGTGGCACTTGGGGACATGGGTTAGTGGTGGCCTTGGCAGTGCTGGGGGATGGTTGGACTCGATCTTAGAGGGCTTTTCCAACCCTGATGAGTCTGTGATTCTGTGATCGCCTCCTTCTGTCACCACTTGTGAAACCCCCTCTGGAGCAGCTGGCTTTTTGAAGGACATCAGGATAGTGGAGCAAGCCCAGCAAAGGGTCACCAGGGTGTCTGTGGGCAGAGCACCCACAAGGGAGGAGAGCTGAGGGAATGGGGCTGCTCCCTGGAGAAGTCTCAGGGCTGATGCAGTAATCAACTCCTAAATTGGGGTTGTCCTGTTGACAAGGGGGAATGGCTTCAAATGGAAGGAGAGTAGGTTTAGATGGGATATTGGGAAAGAATTGTTCCCTGTGAGGGTGGGCAGGCCCTGGCACAGGTTGGGCAGAGAAGCTGTGGCTGCCCCTGGATCCCTGAAAGTGTCCAAGGCCAGGCTGGACAGGGCTTGGAGCAACCTGGGCTGGTGGAAGGTGTCCCTGCCCATGGCAGGGGGTGGGATGAAATGAGCTTTAAGGTCCCTTCCAACCCAAACCATTCCATGATTCTGTGAATAGGAGAATATGGAAAAGGTGTAGCCAGGCTCTTCTTGCAGAGGATGAGGCAAGAGGCAACCAAAACAGATTGCAGTGAGGAAAATTCCAGTGAGATACAAGGCAGGGAGAGAGGGGAATTTGCCCATGATCATGGTCAAACACTGGAACAGAGGCCAGGAGGGGAAGAGGTATCTGTGTCTTCAGCGATGCTCAGTTCAACTGGGCCCAGCTGGAGCAACTTGCTATGGTTGGCCCTGCTCTGAGCAGGGACTGGAGCACAGATACCTCCAGCAGTCCCTTCTAACACAAATTACCCACCATCCTGAAGCACTCTGTTCTTGGGAAGACCAAAAAACAAAAAAAGAGATGCAAGTTTATTTTCCAAGGATTTAATTTCAATTTCTACAGTGGTGTCAGTGCCACCCCAGGCAGTGTCGTGCTCCCAGATGTGGTGGTGCATTAAAGCCTGGCTGTTACGTGGCAGGAATTGGTTTACTTTGCCACTAATTTAAATTTCTGAAGGTGCTCTATCCAAACTGACACCCTTACAAATGAAATCTCTAAAGCAAGTGCAAATCATGCACCTGGCTTTGTACAGGACCTGTATGTGGGGATCGCGTTGCTGTGAATGAAAATGAGATCCTAGAGCACTAACAAGATTGGGCTTTGCATTTCCACATACACTTAATAGTATTAAATTTGGCTTTCATTCCTCCCATTTATCAACTTATAAATAGAAATCATTAGAAACAAAACCAGCAGACGTGGATGCTTTGGTCGAGCTTCAGTATTGAGGCTTTATTTAGAAAATACGCAGAGGGATTAATTTTGTAGCCCAGAATTAAAAATTAAATTTGCTCTGAAAGAAGCAATTAATGAATGCACTACAGTGGAATCTGGAGCATCTCTGATTTGCTGTTAGCTAATTGCTGGATGTTTTAGTCACTCCAGCAGTTTTATTTCTAGTCGAGACGATCTTTGGCATCTGTTTTGAATTGTTAATAGGGAAATAATGCATTTTTAATAACTGCAGCTATCGCAGTAATCCCTGGCTTGCTCGTTTTGCAATGTTCAAAATAGAAATAATACAAATTATCTTGCATTCTCCTATTACAAGAAAAATCCAGGGAAGCCTCAACATACTTCCAGCTAGATATTTGTCTGGGTTCCAGTTAGCCCATATGCCTCCTCTGCTTGCTCTTTTTCGGTTATTTTTGCTTGGAAATTAAAAAAATAGACCAGTAATGGCTATTTTGGCTTCTTTGACTCCTTTTCCCTCCCAGAGCAGAGGCTTAAAAACAACGTCCTCTAGTTTGAGGCTGCAAATTCCATGAGCTGCTCTGGATTTGCTGGGGATCATTTGAATGCAGGTTTTGCATCTGGTGTGAAGGGCAAAGGTAAGGAAATGGTGGAACACCTTGGAGAGGCTTCCAGAAGTAGAAATCCGTGTAGTTCTGTACTTCAGCTGCTTGATCCAGCCTTCATTATCATCTCAGTGGCCTCACAGCTGGAATCTGAGCAAAGCAAAGCCCAGAGATTTAATGGCATCCAGAGAACAGGAATTTAATCACCTCTGCTTGTTGTTGGAAGGACAGTCTGTTCCCAGCATTTTCTAAACACATCTCCTATGGCTTTAGACTGAGAGTAGGTTTAGAATGGATATGAAGAAGAAATCCTTCCCTGTGAGGGTGGGCAGGCCCTGGCACAGGTTGCCCAGAGAAGCTGTGGCTGCCCCTGGATCCCTGGAAGTGTCCAAGGCCAGGTTGGACGGGGCTTGGAGCACCCTGGGCTGGTGGAAGGTGTCCCTGCCCATGGCAGGGGTGGCACTGGATGGGCTTTAAGGTCCCTTCCAGCCCAAACCATTCTGTGGTTCAAGACACATCTTTAAACAACCTTCAGTCAGAGCTTGAGCCCATCTGGGCAGGTGGGAAGTCCCTCATCCCAATAACACCCCCTCTGTGTCACCTCAGCCTTCCAGTTCCTCAGCTGGTCCCACCCTCCTGAGGGTGCAGGGCTCATTTACCATCGCAGGACAGTTCAGCCCACCCGTGGAGATGGTCCCTACTCTGCTGAAATTGGGGGGATGAGGTTTTTGGTGTGATTGGGTTGGGTTTTCAACCCTAATGCTGCTGTAGCTGTTGGGTGTTGAGGAACCCTCACAGCAAGATTTCATGAGGAAAGTGCCCGTGCTTGGGGATATACAGTCACTGCTGTCTGCACTCCGTGGATGGATATGGAATAGGTGATAAATGCAACTCCAACTGTGGACAGATTTGCTTACCACTGGTGTCTGAGCATCTTTTCATCTCATGTGTTTATTTCCACTGTGATTACCTTGTTCTGATTTGCATGAAATGTTGGCTGTCACTCATTCCTTTCTCCATCTGCTTTGCCTTCCACCCTTCTAATCTCAGATTAGACGCCCTTATCATGTCCAAAGACCATTTTTTAAAATCGTGAAGCTAGAGATTTTTTCTTTTCTTTTTTTTTTTCTTTCCCCCAGTGATACCTGTGAAAACAAAAAGATAATGCAAAGGATCTTATAGTACCAAAGAAATCCCATCATTTTCTTGCAGTCTCTGCCTGCTTAATGTTTAATCAGCACCTCTGGGAGGTAAAACCGTCATTCTGAAAATACTGTACTTGTGTGA